CCTCCCCCCGCCCCAAATACATTCCACTATGCAACCTTAATTGTGGACTCTTGTGATAACCATAATACCCTATCATACATCGCTTTTAAATTATTCTCTCCCTCATCTGTTTCAGTGCAGAATATATAATACATAATGGTTCAAAAATATTGCAGCTGGTAGTTCTCTTTTGTAAGGAGTCAGTATCATAATTATTTGTCAGAGGACCTTTATGATCCTGACCAGTACTAAGACAGGAAATCCCTTAGCACCCCATCAGTAACTTCACTTCAGGATGTAATGACAAGTGTTTTTGGTGTGTCAGAATTTATTTGGTAGATTTCATTACCTTAGTTGTGCTTTTTTTTTTTTAAATTTTACATATTGATTATTAGTTCTAATTTTGCTAGACTTAAACAATACAGGAATAGTAAAATAACATCTTATTTGAGAATAAGGAAAAAATACAATCAACCTTGAAAATCCATGAAATATTCCTTAATAGTAATGTAGAAATGGTTGTATGTTTCAGTGTTGAAAATTAAATCTTGTGCTGACTAGAAAATCAAATAAAAATCCTTTAATACAGACATAGGGGAGTTCACACCATTCTGCCTTTTAAGATAACTCCTCGGTGAATGAGCACAGATGAAAGCTAGGATGAGTGCACAGCTTTACCGTGTTCCTAGTTTCCTAGACCGTTCATTCCAGCTCTGATGGCTTAGTTTTAGATAGGAAAACTGTGTTGCCACCCAAAAGCATATGGTTCAAATCCATCAACTTCTCCTGTGCTATTTACTGCCTCTGAAAATTCATTGAAGGGTCATCTATGAGTTGGTTCCAACTTTACAGCACACAATATCATCATAAGACCTCAGACTAGTGTGTCAAGAAACATTAAGCTGAAAGCAAATTGGTGTGTTCATTTAGGATTGTGCCTTCTGTTATGCTTATTATCAATTCAGGGTGGTAAGTTTTATTTGTTTATTTGCTTCTGTTTTTTCCTATGATTTTGTTTAGTCTTCTGTGTGTACACATCTTGTGCTTTATGAAGAAGCAAACAAACAAAATATAACTGCTAGTTTTATTTCTGAAGCATATAATTTAATGAACATGAGACAGTTCTTTAGCTAGAATTTGGATCAAACCATATACTGAAAATCAGATCTGTTCACTGATGACAGCTGGGTCCCCCCTCCCCCAAATAAAAAGGCAAAACTCCATCCTTTTTTCTACCCCTTTGCGACCTAATTGCTGTCCTGGGTCTTTCAAGTGTCTAAAATTTACATGTGACTTACTTTATTTTATTATTATTTATTTTAACTTCACGATTTGAACACCTCCTCTTTCCCCTATCCCTTTTTAGATGTCCCCTAGCTGTGCTGACCTCTGCACTGTGTAGTATTATCATCTGGTGGATTGTTTGTGACTACATCCTTCCCACCCTGCTATTCTGTCTCGATGGTTTCAACCCACAGTAGCCCTCAAGACCTTTGGCAGATAGCTGCTGTGTAAGTGTCCCATTCCATTGCCCTATGATTGGACACTTCTGGTGTCTAGCTTTTCTCATGATGCATGTTTTTTCTCCTTCTTAGCTGGGCTGATTTTCTTTTACAAAGGCTCTTTTTCTGAGTCTTTTCATTTATAACATGTTGGTGACAAGGGAGGGGTTCATCCACATAAGGGATGTTAAAAACCACATTGTATTGTTTTTAAGTTATATTTATTCCTATGTTGTTGTTGATTGTCTTCAAGTCGAGCACGACTCATAGAGATCCAATGAACAAAAGGCCTGAAGTGCCTCTACAACTATCAGCGTTTATCAAAGTTCATAGTGTTTCTGGAGGCAAGTTGTTTAGGAAGTATAGCAATATGTAAATGAAGATATAACATTTCCCTATTAAAAAAGTCAGGATAATGTGGATAGTTTCCTTTTTATTAGCTGTACAGTTTCCTTGTAGTTTTCTATATCTGAATATGTCTTTCCTAGTCTAGTGAAAAAGTTTTTCTCCACTGACATTCTGC